TTTGTAGCCCAGGCTGGCCTCGAACTCGCAAGGATCCTCCTGCCTCAGCCTCCCCAGGGCTGGGATTACAGGCGTGCGCCAGGACGCCGGGCTTGCCACTTAGATCTTGGGAAAGAGACTTAGCCACTTTGTGCCTTGGGCTCGTCTGTTAAATGAATTTATTAACTGTGCCCTAGTTCCTACGATAATTGTGAGGAGGAATGAGATAATCCTTTTAAAATACTTAGCACAAAATCTGGCCCATGAGGGCCCAGCTCAGGTATCTCCTCTTCTATGAAGTCTTTTTGTCTCAGATTGATATATTTGTTGAGTGCCTGTTGTATGCTGGGAGGGTGACAAGTGCATTGTAAGTCACATTTTTAATGACATGTGCAAATGTTCCCGATGTTATGTGTGTATATTACACACAGATAGCAGGAGACTCCAGTTTAGCAGAATACTGTATGCAGTTTCAAACTGAAAAATAAACAGAAGGAAATAAAACATTGAAAGTTTACCCATGGTGGTGGTTGTACAAAGTATGACCAAAATATACAGTGAATGTTTAAATTTAAAAATTCATTATGGGGCTGAGGCTATAGTTCAGTGGTGAAGCACTACCTGGTAAGCTTGAGGTCCTGAGTTCAATTCCTGGTATGCACCCCTTGCAAAAAAAAATCATTATGGTAAAAGACACGTTGCCATTAATCCCCCTCAACATGTTTCCTCTCTCTTCGAACACACATATGCCATCCTTGCCACTTTCTGAGGCAGTTCTGTTTGTTTTTTTTTCAGTACCAGGAATCGAACTCACGACCTTGTGCTTGCCAGGCAGGCGCTGTGCCGCTGAGCTAAATCCCCAGTCCCTCTGAGGCAGTTCTGGAAGTTCACTCTTGTGAGTGTCTTTGCAGAGTGTGGTAAAAAATTTAGTGAATGCTGCTACCTAGTGCCCTCCAATGAAAAGACAGGTACTGTTTTTGTGCCTGAGTCTTTCTGTGTTGTTCAGGCTGGTCTGTAACTTCTGGGCTCAAACAGCCCTTCTGCCTTGCCCTTCCAACTAGCTAGGACTATAACTTACCTTGAGTAATAGGCATGTGCCATTGTGCCCAGCCAAACAATAGTATGTATGTATGTATGTATGTATGCACGTATGTATGTATTTATTTATATTTTGAGATAGGATCTCGCTATATAGCCCAGGCTGAACTCGAACTCACGGCGATCCTCCCCAGTGCTGGGATTACAGGTGTGCGCCATCACACCCGGCCCAGACGGATCTTGAGAATGTGTGAGCTGGAAAGGACAAAGGCCTGACCTGGTCTATGGTGCTTTGTGGGAATTTTGCACACTTTCTTTTTCCTAGGGGTTCCTGAGGTTAGAAAGGAATGTTGGAGTGTGTGTTCATCAAAGGCAGGCCTGCGTGTCTTCATTGGAAAGCTGGTGTGGGATAGTGCCTGGTCCCTCTACAGTGAATGTAGAGAAGACTAACTTTATGCTAGTAAGATTTAGGCCAGGGGTTGCCTTTTTTTTTTTTGAGAGGGTTTTCTTTATGTAGTTCAGGCTGGTCTTTAATTCACTATGTAGTCCAGGCTGACCTTGAACTTGTAGCAATCTTCCTGCCTCAGCCTCCCCAGTGTTGGGCTTATAGGCATGCACCATAACACCTGGCCCTCAGGGGCTCTCCTCGGTGTCACTTACCTTGAGTAAACGTGCATACATTTAGCTGGAGCACAGTATTTCTCATCTATTTGGAAGTTACTCTCTTTTTTTGGTTGCCTTTGCTTTTGACTTCATTGCATGGAAATCTTTTCTGTCAGATCTCAATAAACGTTTCTTGGGCATCATAATGTAGGTGTGATGGTGATAACACAGTGATTTGTCGTTTTGCAGATCACTTTGTGCAGGGATGACTTTGACCCTAACGTTCCCCTGGCCTCTTTCACAGGAGACAGCAGTATGTTGGGAAGCTCAAGTTTGCCTCCTTGGAATTTTCTCCTGGATCCAAGAAGTTGGTTGTGGCCACTGAGAAGAACGTGATTGCAGCATTAAATTCTCGTACTGGGGAGATCTGTAAGTGGGCCGTGCAGACTGCTGGGCTTCCGGGTAGGAAGGCTGGTTGTAGTGAATCTGAGTGGCCTATGGCTATCACACCTGCCTTATTCCCAAGTTAGGGACACGTTGGCCAAAGTTTCTTTTCCTTTAGTGGATTCTGATTGTTTGTTTTTTCTCAGTCTTATCATCTTTGATTATTTAATATTACTATAGCTGATCTTTGTAGTTAATTCTCTTAGTCCTGAGCATCTTTAAATACTGCAAGATACTGCTGAGCCAGGTATGGTACTGCCTGCTTGTTATCCCAGTGCTCAGGAAGCTGAGACAGGAGGATCACTGTGAGTTTGAGGCCAGCCTCAGTTACCTAGTGAGTTTAAGACCAGCCTGAACTATGTAGTGCGACCCTGTCTCAAAACAAAACAAAGAAAACAAAACAAAAAAGATACTGCCGCAAAGCATTTTACTCTGTTTTATAGTAAAGGATTGGATGTCCTTCTCCCTCTTAGATTGTTGAATTGTTGGCTGGATTTTTGGCTGGCTTGTTATTAGGTACTAAACTCATAGAAATAGAATGTGTAATCACTATTCTTCTTAGGAGTCAGATGGGTTTTATTAATCTTGTGGTTGTTCATGTGATAGTGTGGTAGTGGGGACAGAGGCCTCAGATGGGGACCTAGCGGCCCCTTCCAACCCTTCCTCCCCTCATTACTCAGTGAACAGGACTAGATCATGGCCTGTTAGGTGTACTCTTCCTCGCCTCTAAGCAAAATTGGATACTGCTGTCCAAATAAAGATCTCTTAAGCCCTGTCCCAGGCTTCTTGGTCATGGGGATGTCTACAGTCATACCTGCTTCCCTATCTTTCAGTGTGGCGCCATGTTGACAAAGGCACGGCAGAAGGGGCCGTGGACGCCATGCTGGTGCACGGACAGGGTAAGCAGAGGCCTGCTGGGTCTCCATTGTGGGCCGGCACCCTCTCATTCCTTGGTTGTCTTTGTACAAGGTCTGATGGGAAAGGGAAAAGGTATTTCTGGCAGTGAAGGACAAGTGCCCATTAAAGTCTATTTGCTTGACTCTATGAGGTGACAGAGCAAGTTTGGGAGATGACTTCACCATGGTCTTTTCTCTTCCAGATGCAATCACTGTGTCCAATGGGGGCCGCATCATGCGCTCCTGGGAGACTAACATCGGGGGCCTGAACTGGGAGATAACGTTGGACAGCGGCAGGTAGGGGGAGGTGCTGTGTTCTGTCTTGGCTGACTGAAAGGCTTGGCTGGGGCACACATATGCAGGGAAGCAATCCCAGGCCTTGTGAGGAGGCAGAGAGCATCAAATGCCTGTTCTTGATGTGCTGAGGTTACGGAGAACACGTGTTTACTCTACCAACGTTTACTGAGCACATATAAGACTCTCTGAGCTAGGTGCAGAGTTTATTCTTTCTCCCCCCCCCCCCTTTTTTTGTTTTTTTGAGACAGGGTCTTGCAGGTGTAGTTTAGGCTGGCCTAACTTGAGACAGTCCTCCTGCCTCAGCCTCCCAAGTGCTAGGATTGCAGGCATATGCTAGCATGCCCAGCTATTCTTTCTTTCTTTTTTTTAATTTTAATTTTTTTAGTTTTTTCTTTCTTAAAAAATTCTTTCTTTTTCTAACTTACTTAATTTTTTCCCAGTTTTTTATGTGCTTTATTTATATTTGGGTTTCTCATATAAGAGAAACCATGTGACATTTAAGGGTTTATTTCACTTAACATTGTGGTCTCAAGGTGCATTCATTTTCCTACAAATGACTCATTTATCCTTCTCTATGGCAGAGTACTATTCCATTGTGTATTAATACCACATTTTCTTGTCTGTTAACGGACGTACAAGGTACTTTCAAGGTTAAGCTATTATGAATTGTGCTGTATACACGTATTTGCTGTAATATGTCTTTTAACTCTTTGTGGGAAGCTACCTAGAATAGATGGGTCAAATGGTCTATCCTTTCTTCTCTCTTTCCCTCTCTCCCTTATTGTTTTTTGAGTATGTATTGCAAGCTGGCCTTGAATTCAGTATGTAGCGCAGGCTGGGCTTGAACTCATGATGATCCTCCTGCTTCAGGCTCTGAAGTGCTGGGATTACGGGTGTGTGCCACCCACCCAGTTTAGGAATGGAATTTCCATTTTTAGTTTTTTGGTGAATCTCCATACTGATTTCCATAGTGGTTGTAAGTTTATGTTCCTACCAACAGCGTGGAAGGGTTCCTTTTTCCCTACAGCCCCACCAGCATTTGTTAATATGTGATTGGTTGATAATGGTCACTCTTTGTGGAGTAAGACGAATCTCAGTGTTGTTTAATTATGTATTTCTCTAATGGCCAGAGATTAGACGTTGTTTTCGTGTATTTATTGGCCATTTGTACTTCTTTTGAGAAGTGTCTATTCATTTTAGTTGTATATTTTTGATGGGTCTTTTAATTTTGGGGGTGTTTAATTTTTTTGAGTTCTTAATATATTCTAGATATTAGTCTTCTGCCCGAGGAATAGCTGGTAAAAGCTTTCTCCCATTCTGTAGGTTGTCTCTTCATTGTTGATTGTTTCCTTTGGTATGCAGAAGCTTTTTAATTTGATGTGATTCCATTTGTTGAGTCTTAATATTATTTCTTGTGCAGTTGGGATTTTGTTCAGAAAGTCCTTGGCTATGTCAGTATATTTAAGAGTTTTATCTATTTTATCTTCCAGAAGATTCTGTTTTAACATTTAGATCTTTGATCCTTTTTTTTTTTTTTTTTGCTGCTGGGAGTTGAACTCTTGACCTCAGGCTTGCCAGGCAAGTGCTTATGCTACTGAGCTACATCCCCGGCCCTCTTTGATCTATTTTGATTTTAGTTCAGTGGATGGTGAGAGATGTGGGTCTAGATTTAATTTTCTCCATGTGGATAGCTGGTTTTCCTAGCCCTATTTAAAAAAATCTGACATGCGTAAGGTTGGGTGAAATATACCCAGATCATAACTTACACTCCTTGTCATGAAATTGAATCTTATCCACACTGTCTTTCCAGCAGTATTTGTTTCTGGCCTTTGTCAAAAATAAGATAGCTGAATATACCCAGGATGGTTTCTGCATCCTCTGGTCTATTTCATGACCCATATGTCTGTTTTTGTGCAAGTACCATGGTGTTTTTATTACTGTAGCTTTGTAATATAACTGGAACTCTGGGACTGTGATGCTTCTTACTTTGTTCTTGTTTCTCAGGATTGCTTTTGCTATTCTGGGTCTCTTCTGGTTCCATCTAAATTTTTGTTTTCTCCAGCTCTGTGAGGGAAATGTTTATCTGTATTTATTCTTATACTTGATGCTTTTCCTCATCTTACTATGATGTGTGAGCTTTTCCATGTTTATTTATTTTTTTTCTTTTTTTGAGACAGTTTTGCTCTGCAGTTCAGGCTAGCCTTGAACTCACAGTGATCCTCTTGCCTCAGCCTCCTGAGTCTGGGATTACAGGCATGTGCCACTGTACCTGGCCAAGCTCTAGGTATAAGAACTAATATAAAACTTTTCATGCTTTTATTTTTGGACAGCTTGAGTCACTGTTCCCTCTTGTTAATGGTGTTTAAGTGACAGGGTTATTGGTGTTAGTTTACACATCTTACGATAATTCACTCAGTAAAGGCCTGGTTCCCATCCTGTAGGGCATGGGAACCCACTTGTGAATGTGAGATAGATTCTGTCATCAGATTCACAGTAAGGTCGGGGCGGGGGGAGGCATATAGCCCAACGATGACAGCCTGCTCACGACTGTAGGGTAGAGAGCTGACCTGGTTGTTAAGTCTTAGTGGAAGGGAGGAACGGCCCTTGGGAAATTTGAGGATTCAGGGAAGCAGAGTGGCTGGGGGTTGCAACACAGACTCTGAAGTCGGCCAAGTTTGATGTCCAGGTATTTTTGCCTCCAAAGCCTATTTTCTTACCCGCTAGGCAACATGGCAGTGGTGAGACTACGTGCCCTAGCCTGAGGCCCTCACCCCTGTCACTGTGCTCAGTTTCCAGGCACTGGGGCTGGTAGGCCTGCAGGAGTCAGTGAGGTACGTTGCGGTCCTGAAGAAGACAACTCTCGCCCTCCATCACCTCTCCAGTGGGCACCTAAAGTGGATGGAGCGTCTCCCAGAGAGGTAAGGCTGGCCCCTCCCAGCTGCTGGCTGCTCTTCTGTTTCCTGTGAGCCCTTCTTTCTCCTTGAGGGGCCTGCAGCATTTGCTTGGCCTGGTCACCTTCATGTTGGTGTTGTATTATGTTGTACTTGTTGGATTTGGACCCCTGTGCAAAGGCTGTGGCTACGCTGAGAGTGTCCTTTGCAGAAGGAAAAAAGTTCTTGAAAAATAATTTTCTTTTTTGGTACTGGGAATTGAACTCGGGACCTCACGCTTGTCAGGCAGGCGCTGTGCCACTGAGCTAAATCCCCAGCCCCAAGGAGGAAAAAATTCTTAGGCACTAGAGCTGGCCAAGGAAGGGAGCCACTTGCATGCTCATGGGCATGGTAACTTTGGGCTTCTCTACGTCTAGTTCCAGTTAGACTGAGCCTTTCATTCATATTAAGAAGTAGAACAAAGAGAAAGAGAGGGAAGGGAGGGAGGGAGGGTGTAAGGAGGGAGGGAAGAAGGAAGGGAGGAAGGAAAAGGAAGAAAGGAAGGAAGGAGAGACTCAGAAAGACCCTAGGGTAAGGGCAGAGTGAGGCTTGAAAGGGATTTCAGGGTCCTGGTGGTGGAATGTATTGAGGCTGGGAAGGGGCAGGAGAGAGGAGGGGCAGGAAAGGGTCTGCTTGGACCATCTGTGGCCATTGTCAAAGTTTAGGGCAGGAATCCAAAGAAAATTCCTGTGGGGCCATGCTGGGAATTGCAGTATGCTTGACCTACCTCCAGGGGGCAGCCTTACTCAGCTGATGGGTGAGTAGGTAAGGTTGCCGCATCCCTATCTGATTTTCTAAATGTTGCCTGGTATTCAAATTAAAAACAAAAGCAGCGCTGAAGGTGTGGCTCAGTGGTCCTCTGCCAGTGATGCCTAATATGAGGCCCTGGGTTTAACCCCCAACATTACAAAAAGCCCAAAACCAAAAGAACAAAAATGAAAGGCTGGACATTGTGATGCACTCCTATAAACCCAGCTGCAGGGAGGTTGAGGCTGCAGAAGCCCAAGTTCAAGGCTAGCCTGGGAAACTTAGACTCTGACTCAAAATAAAGACAAAGAGGGGCTGGGGATACAGTTCAGTGGTAAAGCACCCCTGGCTTCAACAAAACAAAAGCAAAACCTAAAACTGTGAATTAAGCAATTTGAGGGTTGCTAGTTTGTAACATCTGGTGAAGGTCTGCTAGCTTGACTTTGGAACGTCCCTGAGGATGTTCCTACCCAAGGGCTAACACTGTGGCTCCTTCTTCCCTGTCTTAGTGACAGCATCCACTACCAGATGGTGTATTCCTACGGCTCTGGGGTGGTGTGGGCCCTCGGCATCGTTCCCTTCAGTCATGTGAACACTGTGAAGTTTAACGTGGAGGACGGAGAGATTGTTCAGCAGGTATGGGAAGGCATCTGGCTTGAGGAGCCTTGAGAATGGGGAAGGAGGATACAATGGAGTACTTTTTTGCACCAGGGCCAGAGAACTTGGCTGGGTAGATCAAAAGCTGTTTGTGGTTCCTGATTCCAGTCCCTTGTTACTGGCTGGTCCTCATTGGCATGTATTTAAAGTACTTATATTTGCATGAAGTGGTCTTCTATGATGTCTGAAAAATTACATAGATCTAGTCACTGCCCTTAGATATTTTCTAAGGTAGTGCTATTATAAAATAACTATAGAACACACATAGTAGACAAACGTAGTAGAGAAATACCTAGCTGCAGTATCAAGTATTTGCAGTTACCGAGTACGTTTTTCTGGTTGCCAGAGAAACAGTCCTGATTTTTCTCTATCTTTAGAGGTTCTTGGGAGGCTGGTGAGGGGTGGGGCTGGAAGAATCCCTTTGGAAACAACCGTGAAGAGCCTTTAAGCTGAGGACCCTCCTGGCATTGTGGTCGCAATGCTGCTGGGGCGCTGAGAGGGAATGTAGAAGATCCTCCGGAGCCTCACGTTCTGATGTTGTTTCTGCAGGTCAGGGTTTCGACTCCGTGGCTGCAGCGTCTCACCGGAGCCTGCGGCGTGGTGGAGGAGGCGGTCCTGGTATGCCCTGACCCAAGCTCGCGCTCGCTGCACACTTTGGCGCTGGAGACGGAGTGGGAACTGCGGCAGATCCCACTGCAGGTGAGAGGCTGCAGCTGCTTCTCCCGGCCCAAGGCATTGCCTGCAGGGCTCAGAAGGGTCAGCACGTCTCCCCTGGGGGGTCTTTCTCCCGGTGGCCTCCTTCTTGAGCAGTGTCAATCCTGGAGAAAAGCGCAGACCTCTGGCTGACCTGGTATTGAGGAAATGGGCCACTCTTTTCTTTGGAGAAGCTGAAAGGAAGCTTCTGGAGCTTCTACCCTGGTTTAGTTACATCCCCTGGCAAAGTGGGGCAGAGGACGGATGCTTGGATGGGTCAGTGGCTGGTCAGCTGCTTGCCCTAATCCTAATCTGTCTTGCTTTTTTCAGTCTCTTGACTTAGAATTTGAAAGTGGATTCCAGCCCCGCGTGCTGCCCACACAGCCCAACCCAGTGGATCCTTCTCGGCCCCAGTTCTTCCTGCAGTTGTCCCCAAGCCATTATGCCCTGCTGCACTACCACCAGGGGACTCTGAGTCTGCTCAAAAACTTCCCCCAGGTAACTGCAGGTGGTGTGGTTGTTAGGTTGCAGGGGGGTCTGGCCAAGACATGGATGCTAGGAGGCAGTGTTTTTAAAGCTGGAGACTTCTGATTGTAGGACTGAGGTTGATGGCACTACCCCCTAAGTGGCTTGAGAGGCGTAGCCTTAGGCAGGGATGCAGCACCCTTTCCCCTAAGTGTTATGGAGATCTTTAGAGTAAAACTCTTGCCTTCCTCAGAGTTCACAGCGAAGTAGGGGTGTCAGCTCCCCTGTGTGTACTCAGTGCAGCATGGGGGTTAGGGTGATCTGTGCTGGGTTAGAGGGAGTGGAGAGTTCTGTTAGATGCAGCAAGGGCTGCCTTCTGCTGAGATGCCCTGGTCATTGTTTCCAAAGCTGGGAGCACTTTGGACTCCAAGACCAGGAGACTGTTGCAGGAGAGGTGCCCATCTGGAAGGCTGCTGGCTAATGCAGACACCCTGCTTTCTCCCCAGACTGCCCTTGTGAGCTTTGCCACTACCGGGGAGAAGACAGTGGCCGCAGTCATGACCTGTCGGAACGAAGTGGTGAGTACTGGGGGTGACAGTCAGCACGTGGGGTTTTCCTCCTGGGAGCCTAAGAGTCAAAAGTCTGGGCTCAGTTGCCCAGTGAGGTAGAACACAGGGACAGGAGGCTGTGAGAACCGAGTCCTCTCCTTACCTCTAGAGCTTTGTGCACATCCTCTTCCTTTCCAGGAAGGAGAGCTAATAATGACAACCTCACTTTCATGGAGAGCTAGGAGTTGTTGTGTTTTGTGTGCAGGCATGAGAAATGAGATTTGCCTTTTCTCAGTACCTACAGGACATAGAAATAAAAGCTTCAAGCCGGGCGTGGTATTGCACTCCTGTAATCCCAGCATTCAGGAGGCTGAGGCAGGAGGATTGTTGGACCAGCCTGGGCTACAAAGTGAGCTCAAGGCCAGCCTGAACTGCATAGTGAGACCCTGTGTCAAAAAGACCAAAACAAATAAACAAACAAACAATAAAAAGCTTCGTTTTGGTAACTGAGGAGTGATCCATGGCTGAATTTTCTCCTGTCCTTTTTCCTTAGCAGAAACCTAGCAGTTCTGAAGATGGATCAATGGGGAGCTTTGCGGAGAAGTCCAGTGCACAGGTAGGTGAGGTGTTGGGCAGTGTGCCAGCCCTGGGGACACAGGACCCTCTGAGAGAGCTGGAGAGCAGCTGAGGCCAGTGGGTCTCTTGAAGTTCTCCATCCTGGATGGCTCCTAAGTACTGTTAACTAAACGATGTTTCTTTCATCCCCTTTTCATGGTGAAAGGAGGAGGTAGAGTGCTTAGAATCTGTCTCTAACCATGGTCTTCCCTGGGCCTCAGTTTCCCCATTTCTCTGGGGATCCCGGCTGGCAGAATTGAGTGGTGTTCTATGCATTTGCACTGAGGCAGAAGCATGAGGCCCTGGCCTGCTTTTGCTGTACTTTAACTTTTTTTCACACATACTTGCTTTCTGGCCCTTCTCTAGAGTGTTTGCACTGAGTCCTTGGACATCATTGGGGGACTTTGGGGGAGGGGTCCCTCTAGTTCACTGGTCCCCAACCTTTTTTGGCACCCGGGACCAGTTTTGTGAAAAATAGTTTTCCCATAAATGTGGGTGTTGGGAATGGTTTTGCTATGATTCAAGTGCCTGACATTTAATGTGCACTTTATTTCTATTACTATTACATTAGGTTTGTATAAGGACGGTGCAACCTAGACCCCTTGCATGTGTGGTTCACAGTAGGGTTTGTACTCTTTGAGATTCTATTGCTGCCACTGAGCTGACAGGAGACAGAGCTTAGACGGTGATGTGAGTGATGGGAGCGCGGTGTGGAGCGGCTCTAAGTAGAGATGAGGATTCACTTGCCCACCACTCAGCTGCTGCTATGGCCTGGGTCCTAGTAGGCTATGGAACCCCTGCTGTAGTTGACCATGCTGTTTGTTCCCTCAGGACCCACTGGCTTGCTTCAACCAGACCTACACCATTAACCTCTACTTAGCGGAGACGGGCCGGCGGCTGCTGGACACCATGATTACGTTTAGCCTGGAGCAGAATGATACTCGGCCTGAGTGGGTGAGTCAGAGCCTTTACCTCAAACTCCATCCTGTGGGCTTCTTAGCTTGGGGCTTTCTGTCCTCAGGGCCGGGTCACAGCCGTGGATCCTGGATAAGAGCCTTCTGAACATGGGTTCCAGTTCTTGCTGAGCCACTGACTGGTCATAAATAATGGGAAAAGCAGCTATGGGCTGTGCCCATGTGTCACTGGGCACCAGGCACTGTCCTCAGCTTGGTGCTTGTGCACTAATTGATGGAACCTTCTCAACAGTGTTGTGAAGTGGTTGTTACTGGCTTGGTTTTATAAATGTTACTGTGGCCCAGTGGCATTGGATGTCCTATCCAGAGAGTAGCTAGTAGGGCATGTTGCTGGGGGTCAAGGTCATGGCTGTCTTAACTCCATGCCTGCACTTGTAATCCTACCCAGAGTCCCTTTAAGGTTATTGAATTGTGTTTCTTAGCCTCTGGGCTCTGGCTTTTTTATCCCTAAAGTAGAAAGTCTAATCCTTGTCTCTTGCTCATGTTGGGGGTTGGACGGATATGGTAATACTGCCAAGTACTCATGTTCCTTCATGGACAGGTCTGAGAGAACTTAGGACTCTTTGTGTTGGTGCCAAAGAATATTCCTAATTGTATTGTCGTCCAGGTAATTGGTGTATTTTAAATAATGGCATGATGTGGACCTCTAACAGCTCTGAACACTTCGAATCTTGGGATCTGGGACTCTGAAAAGCATCTGGATTCTCACTGGCTATTTGGCTTGTAGCTGTACATCCAGGTGTTCTTGAAGAAGGATGACTCCGTGGGCTACCGGGCTTTGGTGCAGATGCAAGACCATTTGCTACTTTTCCTGCAGCAGCTGGGTGAGTGTGTCTCAGGCAAAGCGTCTGACTTTTAGCCTGCCCCACATCCCACCCAGACTGGTTCTGAGGGGCTGTGGACACACGGTGCAGTATACCACGCATGTTTTCTTTTGAGCTATATGGCACCTGATTTTCAGTAAATTCTTAGCACTTTTGTCCTTTAAAATTCTTTTGTTTTATTCGTACATATTTATAGTATGTAATGATTATATTATGGGGAGTTGTGTGTGTACATATCTCTTTATTATTTTTGTATCCCTTCCTCCCTCCCCCCAAGTTCTTAGCATTTTAGGGTAGGATCTGAACTTTTCTCACCTCCCCTATTGATTCTTGCCTCCTGTTCTATTGTTATTTATTTATTTCTTTGAGACAGGATCTTGCTATGTAGTGCAGGCTGGCTTCAAGTTTACTATGTAGCTCAGGCTGACCTTGAACTCACGGTGATCCTCCTGCCTCAGCCTCCCAAGTGCTGGATTACAGGTGTGAGCCACCAAGCTTGGCTTGTTCTATATGAGAGCTGATCCCAGAGCCACCTAGCAGAGCCCCTTCAGAAGGTAGGAGAAGCAGGCCGAGCTTTTGTCCACTGGTTTCCTGCAGCTGGGAAGGTGGTACTGTGGAGCCGCGAGGAGTCCCTGGCAGAGGTGGTGTGCCTGGAGATGGTGGACCTGCCCCTGACTGGGGCACAGGCTGAGCTGGAAGGAGAGTTTGGCAAGAAGGCAGGTATGAACTGCAAAGGGGGCTGGACTGCAAAGCTGCTGGAGCGGGGCTGCTCTCGGGCTGGGATTGCTAGTTAGACCCAAGAGCTGCTGTCCTGCGGTGTCCCTGGCTTCCTGGGCTCAATCAGTTTGCCTGTCTGTTCTAGATAAGCGAGTGATTTTCTAGTGCATCTGTGTCCCTGTGGTTTATGTAATTAATCTTTCCAGCAAAGGAATGAACTGTGGATCTCTCTAGGAAAAGATACTGAGGGAAAACAAAAAACCCTCCTAACTTAGTATGGTAATGGCTGTCATTACCTGAGTGCCTGGAAGTCGTCAGGCTGTGTCAAGCACTGTCTACCCATTGTCTACAAAGCAACAGCCACATGTGCCTAGAGAAGCACAATCATACTGACCTGTTAATTGTAGCCCAGCGCACTCTGAGGCCAGCCACAGCCCCATTCCCCGATAAACTCTGTCACTCCACTCTGAATCAGTCCTGTCTCCCCTTTTCCCCTCCATCCATTGCTGTAGCTCCCCAGCAGGCAGTTGAGTGCCTGCCTGGGCCAGGAACCTTGCTAGCTTCGCATGTTTTCTTTTTTTTTTTGGTACTGGGAATTGGCACGTTTTCTTAAGCCAAGGATTAATTTGACTTTACTATTTGTTTCTGCTGCCTGGATCCAGCAATTCAAGGTAAAGCCTGCTCCTTGCTGCCTTGTTGCTCATTGGCTGCCCACATGGCTAGCATTTGGTTGTTCTTTTCTGACTTGAGGTGCCTACCACATGTGTGCGAATTGCTCTGCTTATGACTGGTCCTCTCTGTCGGTCACTTCTCTTCCTTGAGCTGAGGTTAATGGAAAATAGATAAGCAAAGGTATTACTTTCTAGTGAGTGCTTAGCCTATACCAGGCGCTGTCCTCAGTCCTATACGTACATCATGTGGTCTGATCTTTGTAACAGCCCTCTGGGTTACATGTCATTTACAGATGAGAAAAACAAGGGCATCAAGGTTAATTACATTTCCCAAGGTCACACAGTAGTAAGGAGTGGAGCTGGAATTTTAGTCTCTCTTTACCCTGTTGCCTTGTGTCCGTCCCCAAGTCTCTGGTCTGGAGATGGAGGCTTGGAGGGTGAAGGTCTGGTTGATGGAGTCAGGGTTGGAGGGAGTTATACAGGTTATAGTCGACAAGGTAGGCATGAAACAATGGGAAATAGAAGCACCCCTTTGTGATACACATGTCCCTGCACCCCCCAGTCACCCCTGCACCCTTCTGGCTTTGTTGTGGCATCCAGAAGCCTTCCCGTGCCATCCTGGATATGGGGCTGTGATGGTGACATGCACAGCATGGCTGCATCGTGCATGGCCAGTCCCTGACCTTTTAGTCTCCCATTCCTAAAGATTGCTTCAGGTGAAGTCATAAGTGCCGAGTAGTGGGTTTTTGGAAGCGCGTGCATAGTCACACCTCAGTTTGAGACAGACTGCCTCTCAGGGCTGGGAGCCTACAGTGTAAGTGACCAAAGTGCTCTACAGGAGAGGGACATGTCTCTCCTTGGGAAAAGTGTGCACCTCCTCACTGGACTCCCAGTCTGACACAGAGTGTCTTACCGTTTCCCTGACACCAGATGGCCTGCTGGGGATGTTCCTAAAACGCCTCTCATCTCAGCTCATCCTACTGCAAGCGTGGACTTCCCACCTCTGGAAAATGTTCTATGATGCTCGGAAGCCCCGAAGCCAGATTAAGAATGAGATCAACATCGACACCTTGGCCAGGGATGAATTCAACCTGCAGAAGATGATGGTGATGGTAACAGCCTCAGGGAAGGTATGACTACAAGCCCCAGGTACCGAACCTTGTGCAGATCAGGGAGCGGGAATTAAAAAGCTTGGTGGGGGATGGTAGCACTGGTTCCAGTTTGCAAAGACAGAATCAGTTGTTCGGCTTTTCTTTCTAGTCGTGAGCCAAGTATTTGTTTATCTTGCAGCTTTTTGGCATTGAGAGCAGCTCTGGCACAATTCTGTGGAAACAGTATCTACCCAGTGTCAAGCCAGACTCCTCCTTTAAGCTGATGGTCCAAAGAACTACTGCTCACTTCCCCCACCCCCCGCAGTGCACGCTCCTGATAAAGGACAAGGTGAGGCTGTCAGTCTCTGACTTCTGTGGCTTTTTTGGTGTTTAGCAATTCAGATTTGTCCCAGACTTTTGATGATGTGAGAGTCCCTGAGGAACATTCAAGGGTTAGGACTCTTGTTTCTTCCAGTTTCTTGCCTGGGTGGAGCAACTCTTCAGTGCTGATGTGGACTTGATCAAAAGCAGGTTTCACTTCTGCCAGCTTTCTTTCCAGTCGTAGGCTGTTATTGGTAGTGGAGGGCTTTTTTCTCTTTTCTGTGGGAGGGAGAGCAGGATACAAAACTATTTATATTCTTGCCTCCAGAATTAGAGTGGATTTTGTGGATCCATTCTAATATTATTAGGGAGGGAGCTTGGTAGGCACTCTTGTGGAAAGGCCATCATGGGGTTACTGAATGGCAGTTGACCTATTTATGATACTGGGGGTTGAACCCAGGGCCTTGCACTGAGCTACATCCCCAGTACTTTTTATTTGTTATTTTGAGACAAGGTTTTACTAAGTTGCTCGGTCTGGGCTTGAATGTGAGCTCCTCCTGGCTCGACCTCCCAAAGTGCTGGGACTACAGGTGTGTACCACCGTTCCCACCTTGTACTTGACCTTTTTATTTGCTCATCATCACATCCAGTTCTGGATGGGTTTGGAGCCAGGGACAGTTTGACTGTTTTTCCTTTCGACATTAGCTTTGGCAACTGTTCCTCTGCATCCAAGAACTTAATTTTCCCACGAAGAGGACGAAGAGGAGGGAATTCCTCCCAGCTGAGCTGAAGTCTTAGGTTTCCTGGTTTACCCTTATGATTTGGGTTCTTTCTGTGTTTGCTTGCCCTTTTTAGGAAACAGGAATGAGTTCTCTGTACGTCTTCAATCCCATTTTTGGGAAGTGGAGTCAGGTGGCTCCCCCAGTGCTCAAACGCCCCATCTTGCAGTCCTTGCTTCTCCCAGTCATGGACCAAGACTATGCCAAGGTCTTGCTCTTGATAGATGATGAGTACAAGGTACTGTATCTTCAGGAGAGTGGAGACATTCAGGTGGAGGTGAGCAGGGGATGGGTGGGCACATAGGTGGCAGAGCAGAGGCAGCGTGTGGGCTGCTGTGGCACATACTTGCTCTCAGCCCATCCCTCAGAGACCTGACCACTGTAACTGCCCTCATGAACACCCAGGTTCTCAACAGAACTAAATCGAAGCCGTCACTGGAGTCCATTAGGCTGTAATTCCTTTGAGATTTGTTGTTTTATTCTTAAGGGACTCTGTGATGGGGAAGCAATAATGACTGTGGGGAAACCAGGCTGAGAGAGTCCTGAACTTTGATTTAACCCTTTCCTTGGGTTAAATCCTTTTCTCTGGATTTTTAAGGTCACAGCTTTCCCAGCCACTCGGAATGTCTTGCGACAGCTACATGAGCTTGCCCCGTCCATCTTCTTCTATTTGGTGGATGCAGAGCAGGGGCGGCTCAGTGGATATCGGCTTCGGAAGGTAGGTGTGGGGAGATGCTGGCCGGGAGTGGTTGAACCTGAGTGTGCTAGGGGAGGGACCTTGGGGAAAAATAGTTCCCTCATTCCTGGAATGCATGGTTAGAGTTTAGAGTGGAATTTGTAGGACAATAGTCAGCAGAATTAAGAGCAAGTTACTGTCAGAGATGTTTGCTTTGGCCGCTGTGTTCTCTGCCCTGATAAGATTGTTTAAACGACGTTGACACGTTGACACGTGGCTTATTCCAAACTATCCCATTCCAGCCCTGTCCCCTGACAACTCGTATCAGTATGTTGCAAAATGCCTTTCTTCTGTGTCTTTGTTCCCATGTCCCTGAGTTATAAATAAATAACCGTGGATGTCTTAGTTGGTTGCTGTTTCCCTGGGGCTCTCTTACGCCCAAGAAGCAGCCCCCTTGCATTCTTCATGATTGGTTTAAATCTCATCTCTGTGTAATTTTTCTCATCCTCTGTGCCCACGGTCGCACACCGCGACAGGTAGAGAGGGGCGCACTGGCAGGATTGTCTGCATGGGGGATGTGGGTGTTTCCTGGTTACTTAGCAGAGATAGAAACCACGCTTCTAGTCCTGTTGTACACTTAGGTCAGCATAATCCTGATGTGAGTTGGTCATTTATTCCTGTTAGTTGGGCAGCTGCTCCATGGCACATGTGGCTGCAGGTGCTGTAGATAGAGCAGTGCGTGATGGACCAAGTCTGAGCTCATGGCCTTTTCATCCACACTCCTTTTCTGTAGCCCAGGGAAAGGGCATTTTCTCCACTCTCAGGAGGATGGGAAGTCGGAATGGGGGTTGAACAGAGTTGTGTTTTTGCACAGAGATGCTATTGACAGACTGTTGATAGAATGTGTGCTTTGAATTTTATTTTTAGAAACGGGCTTGGCTTGCTCTGATGCTGACATGCTTGAACCCAGCTCTTGCACACAGTGATATGCACTGTCTCGGAAGCACCGACGGGCTAGCCTGGGCCTTGAGGAGAGGGCTGCTGTGTGGTTGCACTCACCAGAAATATCCTGTATTTCTGTAGTGAAGATGTAGAGTGTGTCGAACAGTTAGTGTATACTGGTTTCCTATAATGACCCTGCCAGCTTAGTAATCACCATTGGCCATAGTGTACAGGGACTCTAAATTTTATTAGTAAGTGGTACATTTTTCTTGGCTACTTCCCTCTCAGATAAACAATGATATACCACTGAGTATTCTTTCCTTACTGGCTTTATTTTAGTATCCTTCTTAATCAATCCGAGGGTTCTAAACCTCTTCATAAGCCAGATCTTTTTTTGCTGTTTTTTGAACAGTTTTGGTCTTATTCTTTCCAGCACAAAGGCCTCAGATGCTAAGCTGGTGGACTGTCAGTCACAGCTGTCTCAGGTCCGTGCGTGCCCTCCCGTTCACAAGAGCTTTTGCCCCTGCCCTAGGACCTCACCACTGAACTGAGCTGGGCGCTGACCATCCCCCCAGAAGTACAGCGGATCGTCAAGGTGAAGGGGAAGCGCAGCAGCGAGCACGTCCACTCGCAGGGCCGGGTGATGGGGGACCGCAGTGTGCTCTACAAGGTACAGCACAGCCGTGTGGCACAGAGCAATTGGGGTTTGAGTTGTGGTGCTAGGGTTTGGTGGGTAGATGACCTTGGGCAAATCCTTTCATCTCTTGGGACCTTACTTTACTGTCTGTGAAGTGGAGCTTTTTTTGGGTAGTGGTGGGGACGGAACCCAGGTCCTGCCCCATATTAGGGACATGCTCTGCCACTGAGCTACACCCTCAGCTGGGCGTAGTGCACTCCCCTCGTACGGTTGTTGGGATGGTCACAGGAAATACTCATGCTTAGCCCAGTGCCTGGCGGGCGTATGTGTGGTGACTACCTGATGTTAGTTTTTAGTAGTAGTGGTGGTAGCAGTACAACCTTCTGGCAAGCGCAAGGTCGTGAGTTTGATTCCTGGTACCGGAAAAAAACAAAAAAAAAAAGAAATAAAGACAAATGAAACAAAACAAAAAAGACATTCCATATTTATGATTTAGCACTCAAGTTATTGGTAAAGGGAGGGAAACAGAGGTGACTACTGGGCTGAAAAACTGCTAGTGAGAGACTGTAGTCGTTGGAATGAACATTAATTACATCCTCTGACAGCAGAGACTGCGTGAAGAGTGGTCTAATAGGGTAGGGTAATGAGACCATGGAAGTCAGCAGCGAGCTGCTTCACTAAGCACAAAGCAGGGCACAGAGGGAAGACCTCGAGTTGGACTGTCAGGTTCAGACTTGGCCCTGCTGTGGCCTGGCTGTTCATTACCGCTGGTTGACCTGGGCTGCCTACATTTCCCTTTCACCACTGTGATGTGGAGAACAGCACTGACTTGCATAGATTGTCCTGAAGATTAAAGAGAAGGAGTGAAGTGGTTAGAATAGTGCCTGCCATTTAGGTAACATTATCCTGTTGACTTGAATTCTTTATTGGTGAACATCTTCCTTGTGGTACCAGTTAATTTTAGTTTACTGAGAATGACCAAAATAATACAAATTCTAAAGTACGTTGTAGGCTGGAGAATGAGGTTCAGTGCTGGAGTAACACCATGCACCAAAAAAAAAAAAAAAAAAAAAAAAAAAAAAAGGGTACAGAGCAATATAATTTTTTTAGGTTTTAAGTTCATATTAATTTGTAGTAGGAAAAATATACCATATATAATTTTACCATTACATGGTAAAATGAGCAGTAACTAGGAGCAGTGCTTTTAAAATTCATATTTATTATGCAGTTACTCTAGGTTATTTTTTTCCAATAAACTTTTAAAAATATGATTGTAGAATTACAAAAAAGTTGTGGCTGGGTGTGGTGACACATGCCTGAAATCCCAGCACACAGGAGGCTGAGGCAGGAGGATTGCTGTAAGGCCATGTTTGGCTAAATAATGAGTTCAAGGCCAGTCTGAGCTACATAGTAAGATGCTGTCTTACAGCATCTTAAAAAAAAAACAAAACAAGAAAACCTGCAGAAAAATTGGGGATACAATTTATAGAATTCCTGTATCCCTCTTCCTAGTTTGCCCACACAACTATGGTATATTTGTCTGAACTGGGAAACCAGCATCAGCACACGACCGTCAACTAAATTCCAGGCTTTATTTGGGTTTCACCAGATTTTTCGCTGACGCCATTACTTTAGAGTATGATTACACATTGCATTTAGTTGTCAGGCCTCTTTAGTCTCCTGTGGTCTAAGATGGGTTTTCAGTCTCCCCTTGTTTTTCAGGACCTTGATAGTTTGAAGAGCACCAGTCAGGTGTTTTGTAGAATGTCTCTCAATTCTGCTCTGTCTGCTGTTTTCCCGTGGTTAGACTGCGGTTACGGGTTTTTGGCCAGAAGGCCACAGAAGTAAAGAAGTGAGTCCCAGCTGGACATGACGTGTTCTTTTTAGACAGTAGAGTACATCAGTAAATGAAACAGACAAAACTTCTGTCTCCTGAAGCTGTCGTTGTTGGGAGAGGCTAATAATCCAGACAGTAAATAGGCAGATTACGAGCCTAGGTACATAGTGAGTTCAGGGTCAGCCTGAGCTACAAAGCAAAACCCTATCTCAAAAAACAAACAGAAATGCAGATTACATAGTCACTTAGCAGGGGCCCAGTTTTATAGGGAAAGATAAAGCCAGAACAAGGGAAAGAGAGCAGAACTGGGGAACTGGGAAGGGGATGCAGTGAAAAACTGGGGGCTAAGCAGGGCCTCACTGAGAAAGTGCCCCTGATTCAAAGGCTAGGGTGAGGACGTGGGCCGGGGGTACCTGGAGGAAGAGCCTTGGGAGCAGAAAAGCCAGAGCCTGCCTGGGGTGTTAGAGAAACTGCGAGGAAGGCCATGTGATGAGAACAGGGTGCATGATTGAGAGGCGTGGGGCTGCTGAGGTCAGGGGCAAGGAACTGCATCACACAGGGCTCACTGTGGCCTTCACTTGGAGTGAGAGGAAGGACCTAGCCACGGGGAAGTTCTGAGAAGAGAAGTGACATAAATGGCTGAGAGTTAACCTTTACATGGGGTTCATTTGGCCTTGACTGGACTCGATCTGCCCAAGGAGGAGAGCAGGAAGACCACTGAGGCCATTGTGGGAATGCGGGCCAGGTGATGCGGCTGGAACTAGGTTGGTAGCGTACAGGTAGTGAGGGAGGATTGGGTTCTGGATACCTGGAAAGGCAGAGCCAGTAGCGCCGCCTGCCCTCGCCATGGATGGGGAATATGTGCGCGTGCATGTGGGTGCACTCTAGAGAGAAGAGTCGTGAACAGTGTGGACAGTATTTTGTGATGAAGACATAGGGAGTTGCCCTGACTAGGTGGAAAGCCTGAGGCAAGACAGGTTTAGGCAGATAGAATAGTTCCTTCAGCCTGGGGCAGTGGAGTGTAGCGTTCAAGGGGAGGAATCCCCATGGCTATTTGTTAGTAACTGGGAGGGCAGCGGGAGCCTAGCTTGAACACATAATTTTGGCACTGCTGACACCTATAAGTACTGAGAGAGCCATGAAGTTTGCTGAGGTCACCAGAAGGTGAGTGTAGATAGAAATGCTCAGGGCCAATTGGGCACTCTGGCATATGCCTATATTCCTAGCACTCTGAGAGGCTGAAGCAGGAGGATCATAAGTTTGAGATCACAAGTAAGACCTTGTGTCAAAATAAAAAATAAAAAAAAAGGCTTGGAATATAGCTTAGTGTAAAGGTCCTGGGTTCAATCATTCAATCCCCAGTAGTGCGAAGTAATCCAAAGAGAAATGTCCAGTGTCTGAGTGCTGCCTACTGTGTTCTGTCATGAAGAGATACAGGTTGGGGAGATGCGGAGGGGATAGGCTGGCAAGGCTGACGGGAAACCAGGGGCCGCTGTCTGGGCTGCCAGGTGCAGGAAGTGTTCTGTAAAGGCACGCTCCTGTCACATGGTACCCTTAGGTCAGGTAAGACAAGGGTCAGAGCTCTTCCTCTGGAGTTAGGAAGGGAAGGTGCTGCTGACTGTGGGAAGATGGGTCTGGCTGAGAGAAGTGATGTTGCTGGCGCTGTGTCCTTAGGTCCGGGATGGTAGACCCAGGGCTTGTTTCCGGTGGCCACGTGCTAGCTCTGTGACTTGAGATGCTGCCTCACTGCTCTGATTTCCTCATCTGCAGAATGTGGATGTTGACAGCCTCTTTATATGGTTGTGGAGTCCCCAGGCCCCAGGGACATAAATCAGGTATGGGGATGAGCAGCGACACAGCAAGCGCTTCTGACCAGAAGCCCTGCTTCCTCTTCTAGGCTGATGAGCTCCACGTTGGCCTCAGGCCCCAGGCTCATGGTGGAGCCAAGTATGAAGGCGTTTTGCTCTCTTTCCCCAGAGCCTGAACCCCAACCTGCTGGCCGTGGTGACAGAGAGCACAGACGTACACCACGAGCGTACCTTCATTGGCGTCTTCCTCATCGATGGTGTCACAGGACGCATCATCCACTCCTCGGTGCAGAAGAAAGCCAAGGGCCCTGTCCACATCGTGCACTCGGAGAACTGGGTGGTGGTAAGCAGTCTGTTGGGAACATGGGGTCACGGAGGAGAGCCTCTGGTTTAGATCCTTTCCAGAAACCCAGCTGCTGCTTTGTGTCTTCATAGGCTCCCAACCCCTGTGGATGGCAGCATAGGGTCCGGGCAAGCAGTGGGGGCCAGGAATCACATTGCCTAGGTTTGCTCTGAGCTCTTCCTATTCCTGACTGCCCAACCTTAAAGTAGTTATGTGAGCTGTCTGTGTGGTGTCATGGGTGAAGTAGAGATAGTAAAGTAACCTCCAGTCTAGCTTAGAGCAATGCCTGGCACCTAGTAAGCAGGCAAAGTTAGCTGTGATTATGACTTCTGAGAATATTTCTCTTAATCCCTGTATCACAGCAAACTTTGGGCAGCTTAGACAAAACTCCTGGAATGTTAGTCAGGTTGGGCAATAGGAAGGAAACTGGGGTGCCCACATGGTTCTCTTCCTCCCCGAATCTGTGGCCAATTCGAAAGGTGCCTTCCAGTGTAAACTCCCCTTTCCAGTTGAACCCGAGCTGCTTCTCTGTGTCCCTGCAGTACCAGTACTGGAACACCAAGGCTCGGCGCAATGAGTTCACGGCCCTGGAGCTCTACGAGGGAACCGAGCAATACAACGCCACCGCCTTCAGCTCCCTGGACCGTCCACAGCTCCCCCAGGTCCTTCAGCAGTCCTACATCTTCCCCTCCTCCATCAGTGCCATGGAGGCCACCATCACGGAGCGGGGCATCACCAGCCGACACCTGCTCAGTGAGTGTCGGGAGGAGGGCTCTGGGGTGACCGGGTTTCCGCAGCAGCGACACTGAAGGGCAGGGCGCGTATTGCCGGCAGCGCCGTCTGAGCACCTGTAGGGAAAGGCTGGTGAAGAGGGCTCTGTTGGAGTGGAAGGTCTCTTCGTTCCGCTTCGCCTTCTGTAACGATGACTGCTTCTCTCTTAGTTGTCATTTCTGATGAACTCCTTCCCTTTGCGGTTCTCACCTTGCTCAGAAAATCAGTCCCTGCTACCATTCTTCTTTTAAGGAACACGGAATCCAGTTTTATTAATGACCACTTTATCAAACTGTTAACTCTCTGATTTTTTTATTACTATGTGCTTGTGATACATAATAATTACATTTATCGTTGGGACTTGGTATGGATAGCTAGTGTAGCTGGATCCTTTTTATCCTCCCTCAGTATTATTATTAATGTAGTCTGCATGACCTGTTAGAAACTGACAGGATCTCATCCTGGATAGTTTAAGTTCAGGACTCTGTGAGTGTGCTTAACAGGCTCCTTGCCTACTTGATTTTAGCAAAAATGTGCGAAACTCTCAGCTTTGACAGATACTTGGTATCACTACTTTATTGTCAAAATGGGAGGAAAATAGCCCTCTTGGCAACTTTGATCACCGTCACTCACCCCGGTGCTGCCTGGTCTTCTGCCCTCCACAGTCACGCTCCCCAGTGCTGCTCACAGCCTGAGTTTGCTTACTGGGGGCCTCACTTTGTCAGAGCATTATTACTGGGGGGAGGACGGGCGTGAGGAGATCCAGACTGTGCCTTCCCTTTTCTCCTTCACTGTTACCCGTAACTTGAGAGTTTTAAAACTATTTTTATTTTTATGAGTACCTGTCTGCAGTATACAATGATTATATTCATTGTAAAAGAATTCAGGTACATTAGGTACATGTAAAAACATGTACCTAATATACCTTAGTTCTTTTTCTGTCTCTTCCCCTCCTTCCCTGTATCTTGACTCTTAATCTTGTGTGTGTGTGTGTGTGTGTGTGTGTGTGTGTGTGTGTGTGTGTGTGTATGTATGTATGTGTGTGTAGTACTGGGAATTGAGCCAGGGCCTTAATACTGAGCTACCTCCCCAGCCTTTCTAAATTTTTTTTTTTCTTTTTGAGACAGGGTTTCGCTCTGCAGTTCAGGCTGGCCTTGAGCTCACTTTGTAGCCCAGGCTGGCTTCGAACTCTCAAGGATCCTCCTGCCTCAGCCTCTTGAGTGCTGGGATTACAGGTGTGCACCACCAGACCTGGCTTCTAAATTTTTTTTTTGAGCTTGTGATCCTCCTGCCTCAGCCTTCCAGAGTGCTGGAATAACAGGCATGCACTACTATACCCAACTTTGAGTGCTAAACTTTATCTTTTAATCTCTTAGGGTGATGTATGGAGAAGCTAGTATCTTCCAAAGGGAGAACCTTCATGCAAACTTTGCATATTATTTGACTACTGTTTTGACTTTTTTTTTTGGTCTTTTTTAGACAGGGTCTTGCTATGCAGTTCAGGCTGGCCTTGAGCGCACTTTGTAGCCCAGGCTAGTCTCAAACTCACAACAATCCTCCTGTCTCAGCCTCCAGAATGCTGGGATTACAGGTGTGCGCCACCACACCTGGCCTTCTGTTTTGACTCTTGAAGGGAGCCTCGTTGACTGTTTGGGGGGGGGTTGTTTTAAAGTCTTTAAGATTTCTGTGATAATGATATTTTGATAACTGTTCCCCATCTGGAATTGGTTAAGTGTGAACATTCCCTTCTCCTTATGCAGTTGGACTACCTTCCGGAGCAATTCTTTCTCTCCCTAAGGCCTTGCTGGATCCCCGGCGTCCTGAGATCCCAACCGAACAAAGCAGGTGAGAGCCCAGTGGACAGGCCTTAGAGGCTCTGGGATCTGGACCTCACTGATGAGCTTTGGTCCTTAGTCTGGTTTCATGGAGCTTATATTCTAGTGGGAAACAGACAATAAATGGCAAAATACATGCTATACTAGGTACCTGTAAGCTAAAGAGAGAAATACAATACAGGGATGGGCTATGAAGGTATGGGGAGGAATATGCACGGGTGGCATTTGAGAGCTGGTGGCCTAGAAAGCCCTTCTGAGAAGGTGACTTGGGTTAAGACCTACAGGAGGTGAAGGAGCTCACTGAGTGACATCTGGGGGAAACGGCACAGGGCGAAGGGACAGGTAGCACGCAGGCTCTGCCATCGTGTTTGCTGAGAAGAGGGCTATGTGGCTGAAGCAGTGCATGGTAGAAATGCTGGGAAATGAGTTTTGGAAGTCCTGGCGGCCAGATTATGTGGGGAGGCCAATAACTCGTTCGTGTCAGTGCTCACTTCTGTGTTTTCTCATCTCTTACGGGCATGAGAACGGTGGGCAGTGGGAGGACAGCAGGCTCATCCTGGGGCCCTGGTGAAGCACAGAGCAGTGTGGTTTGGGGCACTGCACGAGAGAGGTTTGAAGCTGGGAAAAAGACTGCGAGGAGGAGTGGGACGGGGACACTTACGAGCAGGAGTTGGCCTTGTGGCCCAGAGTGGTGATTCGAAAATGGCCCTAATGTTCCTCCTCTGGTGTGAAATGCCAGTCAACTGGATCATATTTCTTTTCAAATTTAGAACAAGGTAGGAATTCAGACCTCGGCTTTATTATCCAGACAGTCTTCTGTCTTATAGTCCCTCCTATCCTTCAGCTGCTAAATTTTTAACTACCTACTGCAAGTAGACCTTGAAGGTGATTTGAGGTTAGGTTTGTGTCCTGGAACCCTTCCAAGACCCAGAAGGGCAGCCAGGAGATCCTTTTACAGCAGCTCACAGAGTGCTTATCCCTGCGATGTTTTGCAGAGAGGAGAACCTCATCCCCTATTCTCCAGATGTCCAGATCCACGCAGAGCGATTCATCAACTATAACCAGACTGTCTCTCGAATGCGAGGTATCTACACAGCTCCCTCGGGCCTGGAGTCTACATGTTTGGTGAGTGGAGCCCACAGCACCCTGTATGATAGCTGCTCTTCATTTCATTCTTGGAGAACAGCTCAGGATCGCATTTTTCTTCCTTACCTGAGTCTCAGGTTTTGGTGGCTCACTGGCTGCCTTCCTCCCTGATTCTCATTCCGTTTGCCTTCCAGGTTGTAGCCTATGGTTTGGACATTTACCAAACTCGAGTCTACCCATCCAAACAGTTTGATGTCCTGAAGGATGACTATGACTACGTGTTAATCAGCGGTGTTCTCTTTGGCCTGGTTTTTGCCACCATGATCACTAAGAGGCTGGCACAGGTGAAACTCCTGAATCGAGCCTGGAGGTAGACTGAAGACTTGGAGCCCCAGTGGAGAGTTGTAGTGGCCTCAGCTAAGGTGCTACAGCTGCAGCTGTGATTGGGCAGATTCATGGAATGTGTGTGTTGGATTCTGCTCTCAGTTGCATTGGAGGAAAGGTGGACCTTAATGTATAACTGCTTTTGAGACACATGATCCGCAATCCTGTGGATAAAGGCTGAACTCACTCAACGCAGTTGAGGATCTGCAAGCATCTGATAGATTTTCCTCCAACATCCAGGGCCACTGCCATTTCCTTTCTTTGCCCATTCATGAATGTTCTGTTTTAAAATATGAACTTTAACTGAGCCAGGTGCAGTGACTCATATTTGTAATCCCAGTACTCGGCTAGGTTGAGGCAAGATGATTGTAAATTTAAGATCAGCCTGAGCTGTTTAGTGACATAGAAAGACCCTGTCTCAACATAAAGGGGGGCAGTGGTTGGAGATGTACCTTACTGAGAAGGCCCTGGGTTCAACCCCCAGTACAACATACGAAACCCTTCAGTTCCTTTCGTTTGAAAACGAAACCCTTCAACTAACTTTTTTTTGGTACATGCTTTCAGTATGTAACAATTACATTCAAGGCTGATTTGTCTTTTTTTTCCCTTTCTTTTCAGTGCTGAGGATTGAACTCAGATCCTCATATAAGCTAGGCAAATGCTCTGACATTGAGCTACATCCCAAGCCTTGATGTTTCTCTTTTGCAAGGCATGTTTAAATTGATTTTAGTTTGCCTTTTTGTTTTGTTTAACCAGGAATTGAATGCAGGACCTCGTGCTTGAGCTATATCCCCAGCCCTAGTTTGCCTTTTATGTTTCCCATTCTTATCTAGAAATCCTGGATTTTTTTCTGCCTCTTGGTTCAAAGTTGGTAGGGAGTTCCTCTGCCAACATTATCTTGGTGCGTTTGCTGCTTGACCTTGATGGATGGGGAGCCACAGGATCCGTCCTTGGCTGGGGCTTGAGGACTGATGCACACTCTTGAGATTTTTCTCCAAAGTAACTTGGGTTAAGGAATCTATACATGATGTCAAAACTAACTTTAAAGAAGCCTGTAGTACAGTGATGGCAAACCGTTTAGAGCTTTCAATGATGAGAAACTGCTGGCTGCAGCATGTGTGCTGTACTTTCACTACCACTGCATTGCTCTAGTGTCATGCTTTTTATTTTATTTTGTTTTTGAGACAGGGTCTTGATATGTAATTCCTGCTGGCCTTGAACTCACTATGGAGTCCAGGCTGGCCTCAAACTCATCATGACCCTCTTGCCTCAGCTTCCTGAGTACTGGGATTACAGGCGTGCGCCTCTACCCACAGCCCTCGTGCTCTCATAAGGTTGAGCATGCGGTCTTTTCAGCTTATCAAAGCCAAGTTCATGTAGCATCTTGGTTTGCTGGTCATCACCTATGTGTTTCTCCTAAGACATGTCAGAACAAAGGCTTTTTTTAGAGCTACTGAATTGTCTGAACCCGAAAAGATTTCAGTCTCTCATTTTGCCCACAGGCTGGCCTCGTCATCTTAAAACCAAGAAAGATGGTGTTAAGGACTGTATTTATTTTTAGGGTTTTTTTTTTGTGTGTGTGTGTGTGTGTGTGTGTTGGGGAATCAACCCACAGCCTCATATGCTGTACCACTGAGCTATAGCCCCAGCTAATTTTAGATGTAAATATGTCATACTTTTAAAAGGAGCGGGTTTAAGGCTGACTCATCTTTTTTGAGTGTGGTGCTAGGGATCAAACCCAAGGCCTCACACATGCTAGGCAAACACCCTACCAGCGAGCTCCATCCCCAGCCCTGGATCTAACGTTTGAAGCTTTAAGCAAGAGGAGAAAAATGGGTAGGTAGCAAACTGGCCTCTTGGGGTTGTTGCATGGCTGATTGGCTGGGATGCCAGATCTTTGTTATAAATTAAGGGAACCCTAAAAAGTTTTTCCTTGTTCATGGATTCGGGAATCATAGAACTTTGCTGTGAATCTTGCCTTGTTGTGAGGTAACCATGCAACAGAATAAAGCAAAAGATGAAGATTTTGGTGTAATCCTTTTTGTGTTTTAGGAAGATCGCTTCAAGTCCACTTTTATAGTAGGAGAAAAACAGTGCGGAAATGGTGTGCATTTAGTAAGGAAATGGGCCAACTGACTGTATGAGTTGGTTTAGATTATTTAAAAACAAAAGTTTTTTCACCTTTCTGTGGTCATATGCTGATTATGTAGGTTATGGCACAGAAGGAAGAAAACTGAGTCGTTTTATTTTAGAAATAAAGTTGTCAAATGATATTTATAAAGGAATGAACATCAAAGTATCTCCAGGAAAAACCAGGGATCTCTTCATCTTGACTCAAGGCATGCTTTGTATTAATGGGATCTGGGAGAAGGGAATAAGTACAAGTTAAAAAATTTGCCCTAGTTTTGAGATAGCCTGGCTGGAGTTTTAACATCATCAGCTATTATCTTCCTGCCTGTTCTGCTTGCACAGCGCAATTTGCAGCGTTACAGCTTTCGTTTACCTACGTGCCAGAATCTCAAAAGAATAAACTAACGGGTAAGAAGTTACTTGCCCTTTCATGAAATTCCTTGTATTTTGGCTTTAATCACTCCCATTTTACTGCATATTATCTCAAAGCAGGTGCTTAAAATAGCAAATGCCAAGTCTTTTCTTAGGTTTTGGCCTTCTTTAAGCTTGAAGCAGAATTTGGTTCTGACCAGCTGTGCCCAACCTCTGCTGGGGGCTTTTTTTGTTGTTGGTATTGGGGGTTGAACCCAGGGCCTCCTCCATACTAGGCAAGGGCTCCTCCACTGAGCTCCTTCCATGGCCCCTCCTATGGCTTGTGAGACCATGTTTCCTCTTTTCCAATCCATTTGCCTTTTTGTCTTTTAGTGCATATCCCTTGAGCCCTCTCATTAATTAGGTTAATTTGATGGCCCCTTACAATACTCATTTACAAGTGATTCCTCAGCATTTTCTAGGCCAGTTTTTAAAGTTAGTTTGATCACCATGCTCGGTCTTTTGGCATACAATTTTGCAGCTAGTACTACTTTGTGATCTCAGTCCCTGTTGGAAATAGTGTAAAGTGGTTTGTGGCTTTTGTTTTCTTAGTCTTTGACTTGTGATAGGAATTGATGATTGAGGAATGTGTGTTAATTAAATGCAGAATTCTAGCCAGAAGGCTGGGATGTAGCTCTGTGTGCAGACTTAGTGTTCAGTCCCCATTATCAGAATAAACAAATCCCATCTTAAGACAAAAGATTCAGAACTGGTAAGAACTCAAAAATTGAATGAGTTTTGTGTGTACCTACTTCTCCCACTTAAGATGGTAGCTTATTGATTTTTTTTTTGGTTTTTTTCCGGTACCGGGAATCGAACTTGCAACCTTGCACTTGCCAGGTAGGCACTGTGCTGCTGAGCTAAATCCCCAGCCCCTACCTTATTGATTTGATACCACTTTTGGAAGAGGTTGATGTCCGCTGTCCACCTTCAATAAGAAAAATGAGAAAACTTACATGCAGATCATGTAGTTTTACTGCCATAAACTAGGGATGACACTACTAAACTGACTATATAATTTACAACTACCAAAATTGAACTTTTCTGAAACCCAGACAATTTTTGTTAACTCTCCAAATATTTATTTTGTTTAGAGCCCACAATTCTAAATTGTGACTTATTTTGCCTTTGTACTGGTCATCTTTTCTGTGGCTGGGACACAATACCTGACACCCACAATTTCAAAGAGAGGTTTAATTTGGGTCATAGTTTCAAGGGACCTCCTCCGGGACAGGAACATCATGGTGGAAGGGAATGGTGGAACGAAGTGGCTCACTTCCTGGGGGCTGAGAAACAAGAGGGGAACTGTGCCAAAGAGGAAGAGGTGGGGAAACATGGACCCGGAGGACGACCTGTGACCCCCCCAGACACACCCAGAAGTGTGCTCCATTTAACCCATTGGCAGCTCCCAAGTCATGCAAGTTGACAGTCCAGCTTAAATATCACAGCGTTGTGTGGAATAGAATTCTGGGCCTTGTGCAACCTCTTGTCTGCACTGGAGCGGGTGTGAAACTTCTTGAAGCCACTCCTTTGGCTCTGTCAAACCATGAACCCTGTTAGTCTTGGTCTTTGGTGTGGGAACACGTATCCTCTGCTTTAAATATTGCTAGGTTATATAGCTGTTTTTTTTTTTTTTTTTTTTTTTTTTGCAATGGGAATTGAACTCAGGGTCTTTGCACTGAGCTGTATCCCCAGCCCTTTAAATTTTTTTGTTTTGAGATATGGCCTTGCCAAGTTACTAAGTTGCCAGGGTTGGACTCACAGTCCTCCTGCCTTAGCCTCCCACAGTGCCAGGATGGCAGGTGTTCACTGCCACACCCAGCCAGTGCTTTTTGTGCTGGTGCTTAATGTAGATCTCAGGAGGGGTATGGTCATGTGTACCTGTCATCCCTCCTACTCTACTTGGGAGGCCGAGGCAGGAGCACAAGTTAAAGGCCAACCTGAGCAAGTTAGCTAGATGCTGTCTCAAAAAAGGGTGGGCATGTAGCTCATTTCTGCCTGGTTCAATCCCCATACTGGGCAGAAACAAAAAATAAAACATGTAGATCTCAGTATCTTACCTTATTACAAAAAAAGCACCTAGTAAGAGATTAACAGCAATAATGAAACAGAAGAATTAAACAAAAAAAGCTCTTAGGGCAGCAAACGTAACTCAGATGAGATTGACATATATATGACCCCCCCTTTTCTTCATACTGCTTTAAAATTGACCCCTAGATTAAGGCAGACCAGCAGGGAGCTAGCTGTCCACCTAGGTTGAAAAGGAAGAACTGTGTCACCAGCTTATCCTCAGGGATGGACCTTAGAATTTATTTGGTGCTGTTTTATGTTAGGAATGCTGTCAGTGAATTGTCTATCAAGGCAGCTACAGGACCAGTGGGAGAGACTGTCCCCTGTTCTCAGTATCAGGAAAGGTTGTCTCTTTGATGAGCAGAGTGACGAGGAAAAGTTGTCTCAGGAAAATCTGAGACAACTTTTTTCTGTTACTCTGAAAAATCTTTTTGTGCTGGGCAAGGTGCTGTATACCTATAATCCCAGCACTCAGGAGGCTGAGGCAGGAGGCTTATAAATCTGAGGCTAGCCTGGGCTATACAGTGAGACACTTTGTCTCTTTAACATCTTTAACACCTTTTTATTTCCTTGATTGTAAGTAACATGTTCTTATTGTAGATTTAACCACTTAGCAGTCCAATGATTTAAATACATGGTGACCAAAAATTCAGTAATTTTTTGGTTAATTTTTATAATACAACAGGTTTATTCAATA